TGACTATTTTTTGGTGTGAAAGGGGTGTGGGAGATGCGGGAAGAGACTGGTCAAAAATCGTGCACCTATGGATGAGGACAGTGGGTGGGGAGTTAGGGCGGAGGGTGGGGTGGGAACTGGAAGGAGGGGAGATATGGGGGGAAAAAGAGGAACAAATGTAATAATCTGAACAATAAAGATTTAATTATAAAAAAAGAGTTTTGATTGTTCTTACGTCTTTTCTTATTGCTCATCTTCAGAGTAGATTGGTTTCCAATATCTGGAGAATCTAGGAGATAAGGTAAAACACAACTAGTACTCCATAACGAAAAGAGTTAAATCTTAGGACTCTTCACATTGTAGAAGGCTTTGGAACATAAAGACAGGATGATTTTTATTTCTGTTTCTTCCCATCTAAAGGAAATAGATCAATATCAAGTGGAGCAAAGACCCACATCCTTTAGCCCATATGCAAAATTAGTGTTAGAAAACCAACAGAGATCAACCGAAGGACTTGTATGCATGCATATAAGCATAACCAATGGACACAAGACACTGGGGGGTAGGGGAGGCCAGGGGAAGATCAAAGGGAGACAAAAAAGGAGACATAAGTAATACTCTTTGTAATACTTTAAGCAATAAAACAAAATTAAAAAAAAGAAAACCAACATTTTTTCATAGCCTGGCAGCTAACTAATTTGGCAGTGAATCTGACTTAGCTGCCATGAGTCTATGTAAACTATTTATCACATTTGTGATTCCCCATAATTGTGAAGCTATTTCAAAAAATATCACTCTGCAGGCCAATGTCATATTGGGGGTCATCAGACAAAAGTTGTAAATGGGATTTGATGGTAATAACCAGAAGCTGTTCCTTCTGTCAATAGAGAGTATGACCGGAGTCAATTGAGGTTTGAACAAGTTTATGACAAAACTGAAAAGTAGCTGCCTGTCCCACTTTCTCTGCTCTGTGCAGAATAGCTGGTGAGTATGGGAACATCCCAATGTGATCCACCACACTTGGGGATGATGACATGTCTGAAAACATGGAATAAGATTCACTGCCATCCAACAAGAGCCATCCTTTTTTTGTTTAAGCCAGAATTATAATGTTTCCTTTCTTTGCAGTTTTTAAAGTGACCACATGAGACCAAGGCAGGAATGGGCTCCCTGGGCCATGGGGTGTGCTCAGAGAAACAGGAACCATGAGCTCAGACTCCTGATGTCCTGGAGCCCAGCAATGGCAGTCCTCACCCTCCTCCTCAGGATCACTTCTCACTGTGTAACTCCTGATTGCCGGGGGCGTCTCGTCTGCACTGGACTCAGAAGACTCTTCATGATTTCTCCCTGAAGAAGAAGCAAATGTCCCTTTGAAGGTCTCAGTGTATGAAAAGGAGTCTAGAGAGGAAAAACCTGGGAAGCTCTGGAAACCCAGGCTAGAATGACCCTCCCTGAGACCTCCATGACCTGCCTTTTGCATTCATGTGACCTGTAGGGCAGTATTTTATTCCCCTTCTCCCCTGAGCCTGGGACTAAGCTATTTCATCCCAGTGGGCATCTCTGCTTTCTCTTGACCCTCTGTTTTTTTTATACTGGATTTGCTTTCTTCTTTTACTTGTCTCTTTATGGATTTGTTGTTGCTTTTTATCTGTGTTCACATTTATTTTTAGCTCTGCTCCTCTTTCAGGGCTGTCTTGGAAATCTGGTATTGAAGAAGGCAGATCTCCCCATGGCTGCTTTCCAGAATGACTTTGTGAAATAGAGCCCCACCTGCACACCATCTAATCCTCCTGGGAATGCTTACTTGAGAAAAAATTCAAATTCTATTGTGTTTGAGTCTTTGACTCTTTGTGTTTATATGTTATAGCCATTAGCCTAACGTATACAAAAGTTAAAATCCAAACCAGCTAAAATTAAAGCAAATTTATATTTTACTTTGAAGGGCATAAAAAAGTTAGAATGGATATTTTGTAGAAAATACTGTTCATTTATAACTATGAAGAATTTTTATTTACTCTTACCATTTTCCCAAAGTCTTTTTCTGCATGTGGGTGATGTGCTCAAATCCAGGGGTTCTGTAAAGTAGGAGGGAAGAAACAGCTATTTGTACAACAAAGTCTTACAAATTCTATGATAAGTCACATAGCAGATAGGGTTGATGATAATATTGATGTTGAGATGATCATTTTCCTCTTTTCTTCAACTGAATCAAGTTCTGGTGCCCAAGGTCATAATGCTGGGCTCTCCCTTTGACACTCCATGTGAATTTATAACCGACCCTTACACTTTCTATCTCCAGTTTTCTCATCTATAATATGGGGATAACTTAGTTACTCTATCTCCCAGTTAAAATATTTGTGAAAACAAAACAAATCTTTATTCATAAAAGCCCTGTGAAAAATCACAATGTAAGCCCACCACTTAACTATCATTTGGGTTTGAGAGTAGTTGGGCTGAAGCTATTTTTATGTCAATAATTAAGTAGCAGCACAAATTATTCTTTGAAGACTTTCTAAGTTGGGGACTAATGACAATATTGTCAGCAAATACAGAAATGCTGTGCTTACTATGCTCTGTAGAATATAAACCATGTTGGTAAAGACTACCTATATTATTTCAATTCTTCAGCACTAATAGTTAAACAATAGTTAAATCTAGTTAAACAATAGTTTATAATGCCTTTTGCCCCTTTCATATTCCAAAGGGTCAAAGAGGTTAAAAGGAGAAAATTGTTCCCTGGAAGTAATAGAATCAATGCATATAGAGAATGTCAGAATAAGATTTATTAGGAAATAGAGCTCTGGGTTTAGACTCTGGGTATTTTTCATCCAGGAATGCAATCCTAATATTCTTAAATGTGGTGCAATCTCAGGTGCTGAGCAGGTGGCTTCTTGGATCGCTCCTTCCCCATTTGATTCTAAGGAGTCAAGGTTATTGATCAGTGCAAAAAAGAATAGGATTCTTTAGATGTCTTAGTATGTGACCAAGAAACTGGTTCAGGAGGAAATTTTCTAATACAGTGGTCGCCAAACCGTGGCTCCTTGAGTGTGGCTCTTCCACAAAATACCAAGTGCGGGCACGCACGTACAGTGCGATTGAAACTTCGTGGCCACACTCAAGGGGCCAAAGAGCCACATGTGGCTTGCGAGCCGCAGTTTGCCGACCACTGCTCTAATACAACTTGAAAAATCTTGAAAACCCATGTATACCATGGCCTACACACAGGCCCACCTGGTCTGTCCCTCTATGTCACCTGCCTTGTAGGTTAGTGATGCTCCATTCCTTGTCCTTAGAACAGAGACAAGTCACTAGCAAAGAGCCCCTCTGCTCTGTTTGAACCTTACTTTCCTATACCTCTCTCCTGCCTCTTACCCCTTCTCTTATCATTTCACACTTCCTTTATTTGTTGTTTCTTTGTGGGAGAGCTTGGAAATCGTGTGCTAAAGGTAAAGAGCCTCCTATACACCAACTTGAACTGTTTACAAGGCTGAGAAATAATGTTCTCTTGTGTCTGAGACATAGACCTATATCGAAATGTCCTTTTAGAGCAGTTTGCTTACACTAACACATAAGTTAGAATGCATACTCCCTGAAAACTGAAGTACATTTACATTTTACTTAGATAGATCTAGTGATCAGTGGAATGAACATATTATTTGAAATACTGATCATTTGTAACCTCAAGACCAGGTAACATTTTTATTTGTTCTTAGATCTTTTCCTAGTGTGTTTTCCTAAATGCTCTCTGAGAAAGTAGGAAGGGAAAACCAACCACCAGTCTGTGCACTAAATAGCTGTCGTTTGTGACCATTTGTGCTGCTCATGGGATTGAGGAAACAGCATTTTGTTAACTATTTCGAGCTCTAATTTACAGAGGAAATAACACAGAACCCAGTAGCCTTGTCTTTCCCTTAATTTTCATGAGGCTTTGTAGATGACCCCGAAAGGTTTATGTGATTGCATTTTCTCATTCAGAAACAAGGATAATAGTGTCCTTCCTGCTTAATCCTCAAGGCTGTTATAAACGAAAAACTAAGACACTATTTGCAAAGGTCCTTTGCAAAATCACTCTATATATCATGAGTTGCTGAAAAACTCTAAAAAACACCACTTTAGGTTTCAGAATACTTTACTTGAAGTATTTATTTCTGCTAACACTAGAGAGCTGGATGAATTACCTTCAGACATGATTCAAAGTTTGTAATCAGATGACAACATGACTGTCCAATTAAGAAATATGAGGTTTCTCTTCTCTATAGAAATTACTGTAGAAATCCAGCACTTTATAGTCATAACAACTAGTTAGTGCTAGCTTATTTCTACTGTACAATCAACATAGAGTACATATATTGGCTATTAGGACCCATCAATAGATGTCATCCTCAAAAAATGTATACATATATTTAATAATTATATATATCTATTTCTTATCTTCCTGCATTTCCCAAAAAGGTCAAGGAAGAATGCAAAGAATGGGATTGCAGGATAAACTGGATCCGTGGTACAGAATAAATCAGAACTGATGCCTCAGGAAACAGTAGCACTTAATTGAGGTTCCTGCAGCCCCAGCCTTGAGCTCCCACCTCCTTACCAGGCCTCCTTCTTTGTCCCGAGGTAGAGGCTTTGGGGGACTCATCTTCATCACTGCTGATCACTGCACAGAAGAGAAAAACCCCTTAGTGTCTCAGGATGGGGCCAAGGAGCCCATGGACAGAAAACCCCATAATGAGAAGCTAAGTTAACTCAGGTCTCCCTGGTCTGTACCCAAATGTGCGACCTGCAGGTTGCTCCAAGTCCTACCCAGAAGGTGGTGAAATTCATGCACAGAGAGCAGCTTTGCCCATCCTGCAGCACACTTCTTCCCCCCACCCTTACTCTCCTACCTCCATCCTCAGTCTACCTCCAATCCCCACCCTTATTCCACCTCTCTTTCATTCTCATTTTACTTCACCTTCCTCTTGGCTCAGCCCATTTCCCTTAATTATGCCTGTCTTTCTGGGGATGTTATCTCTTTATACCTCTTTTTTCCTTCATGCATTTTTTTCTCATTTCCTCTCAGAAGTATCTTGGCTCTGATTATTTTTTTCTTTTTAAAAATCTTTTGTTTTCTTTTTTCTTCATCTCCTACCACCATACATCACTCTTTTATTTTAGAAATAGTTTCTCAGACATCAATTCTTATATCTGCAATTTCAGTGTTTTGGCATTTTTTTTCAATTCCTAGGAACCCTCTTCTGCCAAAAATCACTGCTAAGGTGCTGGTTCCCTCTTCTCCTGCCTCCGTCCAAGGTCACCTGAATCTCCTCGGTGGACCCTGGTGACATGTGCCAGACCTTACAGTATTTGGGATTCATATCACACATTCTTTCAGTCAGTCTTACCTATTACGTTAGATATTTGGGTGTCCTTTTCAGCATTTGTATTAAAAAATGGCTTTTCCTTCTTTATATCTACCAGACGTACAGAACAGGAATTTATTTGGATTCCATGGTTGGGTAGTTCTGCTCCTGAACAAAATTATAATAAATGAAGAATTTTATTTGTCTCCCACAAAGGGAGAGAGCACCCTCACTACAATCAACAAGCCCTTCTTCCTGTAATTCCATCCTAGGGAAAGTTACCTCCATCCCTCTCCTTTCAGCTGCTCAACTCTGTCTTATTATTATGCAGCTCTTAACTATCATTGTTTTTTGTTTTTACTCACTCTTCTCATTATTTGATGACGATGATTTTTTATTTTCTTTTAAAAAAATAAGAATAATAATCACTGTAAACATACATGGATAAAAATGGGTAAATCATGTATTTTGAATTATTATAGAGCAGCAGTTCTCAACCTGTGGGTGGTGACCCCTTTGGGGGTTGAATGACCCTTTCACAGGGGTCACCTAAGACCATTGGAAAACACATATATAATTACATATTGTTTTTGTGATTAATCACTATGCTTTAATTATGTTCAATTTGTAACAATGAAATTGGGGGTCACCACAACATGAGGAACTGTATTAAAGGGTCGCGGCATTAGGAAGGTTGAGAACCACTGTTATAGAGGAAGCATATCTGAGTAACCATAACTTTGGTCAAGTAATAGAAGATTGACAACACCCCAGAAGCCTCTTAGTGATGATTGTCACTAACTGTTCCCACCAATCTTGCTTAAGTTAACCATCACTTTGGCTTTCAATATCACAGATAATTAAGTTTGTCAGTTCTATATTTTATATAAATTTGTATAAATGGAACCATGTCTTCTTTATGACTCTACTTCTCTGCCATTTAGTTGTGGGGATTTGACTTATTTTTTCAACATTATGTGTGTTAAAGTCATTTGTATTTACTTTGCACATTTATTTTCACTGCTGCATAGTATTCCATAATATAAGTTATCCATTAAAAAATAAAATCATTAAAAGATTATACCAAACTGTTACCCAAAAACATGTGTAAAGGCAGAGATTTAGTTGTGAGAGCTGGGCAAATTCAAGTAACTAAATGGAGTTTTTTCAATGGGAAGGTGGCATGAAGGAAGGGGAAATATGAAGCTGTGGTAGGTGTCCTTTAATCCCCACAGCATGCAGTATTGACCTAATACTGAGGGCCGCAAGATGGTATTGGGCTTTAAACAGTAGAACCATAAGACCTTGTTTGAATTTTTGAAAGGTCCATTGAGCTGAAGTGTGAAGAATGGATCTGAAAGGAGCAAGATAGGAAAAAGGAGCCCAGCAGGAGACTGTTCCTATACAGAAGTGAGAAGTGAAAGGGGTCTGGATTAGAGTAGAGGAGATTTGTAAAAGTTGGACTTGACAGAAGTGGCAAATAAAATCATGGTTGTTTTTTAATCCACTACATTTTGGAACTGTTTGCCACTCAGCAGTAGATAACTGATACAGCCTCCAGTAGAGATGGTCATTAGATCTTCCCATCAAGAGCTTCAGGCACTTGATCAAATGAGCATAGGTGACAGGTCTGGGCTGGAGATGTGTGTTTGGAAATCAATAGATCATAAATGGTGACTGAAGTCATGGAAATAATTAGATATCTGGAAAGAGGTCATTTAAAAAAATTTATCTTTTTAATTGAATTCTTTGGGGTGACACCATACAACCCCACAAAACACTGTCCTCAGAGAAAGGATGTATCAGATACTAAACTGATAAAAATAGATACTACACCTGATCTTAGTCAAAAGGCCAAGAAGCAATAGGAGGCCTATTTTTATCTGAGAATGTTCCAGGGCCCTTTTGATCATTGTGGACACCTTAACTTCTCAATGGTATTATGAACAGCCCCTTGTGTCTTTTTACCTATGACTGTCTCTCAAATAAAACAATATCTTGATTTGTCTGCTCTCTCTCTTTATTCGGTCATCTCTCTACCAGTTCTGTATTCATTGTTCTTTACTCATTCTTTACATAGTTTCTTTTGTGTCTCCCTCAGTTTTTCTATGTACTGGCATTCATTTCCTTCTGTGTCTTTCTTTGTTCATATTCTTTTCCTTCACATTTTTATGTCTTTCCCTCAGGGCCCAGCAGGGTCTAAGGTGATGCAAATGAGGTGCTCAGGACACAAGAAGGTGCTGAGTGAGATCTCCTTTATCTGTCACCTCAGGTTTCTCTTGCCTCATTCTAGACCTAGCGCTCCTATGCCCTAGCTGATTTTTTAGTTCCTACATTTTCTGTTTGGTTCCTGCTTTCTTCCATTCTATCCCTGGTTTTTAATTGGTAATGGGACCTGTGTATACCTCTTCTGTATCAATTTTGCCTTTCCATATATTTTCCTCATTGCCGGAAGCTGGTCCACCCTTGCTGCTTGACACAGTTGCTGCAGGAAGAAACATCTGCACAGCTTATGTTTCAAGGGACCTGGAGTATATGGCATATGTTTGCCCCCCCTCTTAACGCTATGTGTTTTAAACAGGACCACCTCCCTGAGAAAGGTTGTTTCCCCAGGTGAGGATTTTTCCCTGGAGTTAGGGAGGGAAAAGAGAACCTGGACAGAACCTGGCTAGAGATCCTGGATAGAACCTGGCAAGAGAACCTGGCTATGATGATTGACTGAACACTGTCTCTGTGTTATTCCTTCTTTGCCGACTCTGTCCACACCTTTGGGAACCCCTGGACCTGCTGGGATTGGACCCCAACACCCCATCTCAAGCATTCAAATCATCACCAAAGTTGTCCCCTGTGATTTTGTGCACTGCATAAAATCCCTCCACCTGCCACTTCATTCTAAAGGTCCTTCACCTGGGCTTCCTTAGTTGAAGGTCTAACCAGCAGCATTACCCATGACTTCCATGTTTCTGTTATAAATTCTAAAAGTGAAGTGCAGCTTATTTCTTTTTACCAACTCCACATCATGGCACTGGTTGGATTCCATGTCAATTTATGTGAACTCTATTTCACTTTTATACATTGTTGTTTGGGTGTTCCCAGTCCACCTTCTCCATAGTTTCTCTCTTTGCATTTTCCTCCAGGGATGACCCTTTATCAAAGAGCTGAGTTCTCTTTCTCCCTGGCCTTTTCCACCTATTAAAAACAGCTAGAGGCTGTGCACAAGGCTGTGTGTCTTGCCTGGTGTTTAGGTGGTTGGGGGAGATGGCTACTATGGGAGAACAAAGGAAAGCTTTTGCTCTCATAGAAAAGCAAAGATATACTTAGATCAATGGTAAGGTAGGTAATAATTACTTTCTTCATCAGAGGGCAATGGGCTGGGCATCTCTAGTCTTGCATTTTCATTATTTCCTTGGATGGGTACTTGCTCGTAGGACTCTGAAATAAAAAAAGACAACAGCTGAGGTCCCACAGAGCCTTACTCTGCCTATTACCATTTTGTTGCACCTTACTGGCTTCTCTTTTCTTCTCCTGTTCCTACTTAGAGCCTGACTGCGTATATTGCCACTTTGACTCAGTGAAATTGTTTGTGTTTCGTTGATTCCACCGTAAAACTCTCCTTGACTTATTTTGACTTTTGTTTCTGTCTATCTTCCCCAGTGAGGCTCTGCAGCTCTTCTCCCTTTGTCTCCTATCTATTTCTCTTTTTCTCCAGGTCTCTCCTATCAATATATCAGGATCCATTTCTGCACTCTGTGTGTCTGTGTGATTGCCCCCTTTTTGTTAATGAATGCCTCCTTGAGTCTTACCTTACTTCATTCTCTGCCACCAGCAAATGCCCCTTGGCTTCTCCACATTCATCAAACCCAGCCATTCAGGCTTACCTGCTGACTCAGTCTCTTGGGCACTTTGTTCATTCGCTTGTTGGCTTTCTAGTGCATCATTATTGTTACTGGTTGTAACTGTTTCATTCACATTTATCTGTCCTCTTTCACGATGGTGCTCTGACAGTCCATTTTCAGGTGGGGATGTACCTAAACCACATTTTGATTAGTAGTTATTTTATTTGCTTTGAGCATCAATCAGGGCCCAACAGGAAAATATAAAGCTCTCTAAGCCTTTGGAGCAGAGGGAATTTAATCCAGGGGGTTAGTTATACATCTGGTGGAAGAGCTGACAATTCCAAATTGAAGAATAGTCAACAGGAAGCTATGGGAGGGACCAAGGGTGAGCTCATGTGTCAAGTCACCGGGTAGGTAGAAGCTGGACCATAGGTGACCTGCTTGGTGGGAGGTAGAGTCATGGGAGATGCAGCTATCGAGAGAATTGCTGCCCAAGACAGTGATAGGGAAGTACCATGCTTCTCCTTTGCTTCCACTCTCCACTCCCTTGCTGGTGTCTCCCACTTTAGGAATCCAGCAGGAAGATGTAGCAAGAGACCTAGAAAGCAAGGCTGCAGGGGTCTGTGGCCAGAGATAGAGGGCAGAGCAGAGCAGAAGCCTATAAGGAATGAATCCCTGAGTAAACCACCCAGGACCAGTGCACCCTCTTCCTTACGGTGGGCCTCCTTGGTTCATTATGGATTCCATTGACCCATTCCACTCTGTTCCTACCAACCTCAATAGTTGTATGAATTGGTAAATATTTTTTTCAGTGCAGATTGGATTTTTTCATTTAGTGCTATTTTCTAAGCAAAGTTATTTATGTAAAGTATGATTTAAAAATAATTCCCCTAATTTTAATACAGAATGTGAATCCTGGTGCATTGTAATGCCACATCTAAAGTTCCTTAGAGCCTCCTCCTAGGGTGATAAGCATGAGACACAGCCCTTCCCTCGCCTGTGCATATCACAGTCAACCATCCCTGCTTATTGTGCATCATTTGGGTTGTAGGTTGAAATCCCTCTCTTTATTTTTATTTAAAAATTTAAGAAATTTTAAAATTTATCTTTGAAATTTGAAATTCCTCTCTTTATACTAGTATACATTGTTCTCAATCATTATGATGCTCTGGGGTTTTATTTTCAAGCAGGTTTGCTCTCAGACCACATTGGGAGTCATAATGTCATTGCATCCTCCTCCCCCCCGCCCCCCCCCCCCGCCACACACACACAAACCCCCTCCCCGCCACACACACACAAACGCACACATGCGCACATGCACACACATAAGAATCCCTTCCTTGCTCATTACTCCTCACAATTCTTTCCTTTCACCCTTCCTATTCCCACCAGCAGGACTGGTGGCTACATGGCTAACATTGATTCATATACTTTAAAAGATATTTTTAAATTAAATTTTTTGAGTAAATATGATTTGCTAAAAGTATAACTATGCTTTCAAAAATAACTCCGAGAAGTTTTTCTTTTATAAAAATTTATTGCTAATTTAAATATTCTTCCCACTGGAAGCTACATTGCAATGCCTTCCATAGTGAATTTTCCTGAATCTCCTCCCTGTCACTCATTTCCAAAGGAGAGTCATGCAACAAACCATGATTCTTCTTATAGACTAGTGTGCTTAAGGGTACAGAATCTGAGGCCCTCAATTTATTTTCCGGGGCCTGAGGTTGGTATTACTGTTATCACTGCTTTTCCAAATATCCCAGTTTACTGTAGTAGTTAAAAGCTTAGACTCTGGCACTAGATACAAATAATAATGATCATTAAACATAGTGATATTAACACATGCATGGAACACTGATGAGGTACCAGGCATGACTGTGAATACATTACATCACATAACTTGTTTAAAATCTATCACCCTGTGAAGTAGGTACTGTTATCACCTCCATTTTGTAGGTGATGAAACTAAGGAACAAAGAGGGAAATCCACTTCCCAAGGCCACATGGCAGAATTTAAAGCCAGCCATGGGTCAGCAGACTTCTTGTTCTGACACCGCCCTAAGGCAAGGTCTATCCCTAGTCTCAGTGGCTGAACTTGCACAAATAGCCAAAGTCTCCATTCATTCTTTGTTCTCTGAAAAATGTGGTTGATACACCATCATTGTATTTTTTAAATCCTCATCTGAGGACATGTTCATTGATTTTAGAGAAAAAAAGGGAGAGAGAGAGAGAGAGAGAGATTGAGAAAGAAATTGGTTGCCTCCTGTATGTGCCTCAATTGGGAACTGAACCGGCAACCTAGGTATGTGCCCTGCCAGGGAATGGAACCCTCGACCTTTCCATGTACATGATGATGTTCCAACCAAGTGAGCCACACTGGCCAGGGTGATATACCATCATTTTAAGTGTTTGAGACGATTAAATAAAATATTGCCTATATCACTATAAGAGATATTGTGACTGATTAGAAAATTAACTTTTTGATTAATATCTTAAATATATAATATTTCAAATAATTTAATACCATTATTAAGAGTGTTATAGATTAAGGGAAGGTCAAGAGTTGTAAACAGTGGTTATTGATTGCTAAATTACAAAAGTATTTTTTTGGAGGCTGGTCAGGTGTTTGGAGGGCAGCTCCAGGCCTGCTGCTCCAGAGATGATGGGAGAGGGTTTGCTCAGGAGGCACATGGCGTCCATGGTGAGGGACCCAACAGGTAAGAGACTCTAGCCCAGGAGGAACACACTTATTACCCCTACCCCACCACCCTTGCTACAGTGCTGGCCACAGCTGGATGTGATGTCAAAGCAAGGCTGCAGCCAGATTCAAGCAAGACAGAGGCAGAAAACTGTGAAGCCAGGTGCATGGGCAATATGTCGAGGCCCAGGTTGTCAGGAGCTGGTGGCAAGTGGATTTAAGGAATAAGGAAGGAGTGACCCTCTCAGGCAACCAAGAAAATTAAGACTCTGTTATCTAAATGCTTGGATAAATTGCAGAAGCCAAGATGGACAATTTTGGGTGATCATTACTAAAAAGAAGCAGCCCTCCCACCATAGCACCTGCCAGGTGGGACCAGAACTGCAAAGGGTCACAGAAGTCAACAGGAACAGACCATTGTAATTCAAGGGATGTGAGCAGATCCAGGTCAGGCTTTGATAGGAGTTTTCACCAGTGCCTGGGGTGAAAAACGAGAAGTTTATTCCAGAAATGTCATTCTCCCCTAATTCCCCTTTAACCTTTATAAAGTAGGACTTGAGGATGCCTGCCCCCCAGGTATCAATACAGAGCCCATCTGGACCTGGAGGATTCAACCTCACTCTTATAGTTAGACCCAAGTCCCCCTTTGGACTGAAAGCGCCTTGGCCAGTCCATCTCACTAAGTGTTTTCCATGAGCACCTTAGGTGACTGGCAATGGCTTTTCATGTCACCCATGGCCACAGTGAACCTGTTTTTGTTCCCACAGCTGCCCCTGATTGGTGGCCTTGCTGTAGTTCCTACAAAGTCCTGGTGCTTCATTGAACCCCTATTTGCACCATACTGTCCCTCCCATGTCTGTTTCTCGCTCTTGTTGGCCTTTTCATGAGGTAGTGTCTGATTCTCCTGTACTCCTTCCAGCTTGTAGTATTCTTCTTTCTGTGTTTCTATCTGCATATATTTCCCTATTTTTGTTTCATGCTTCTGGAGGCTTGGCTCCCCTTCTTCTTCTTCTCTCAAAATATGCACAATTTCCTCTCTTCTTTCTATTACTGCCCATCTCCTTGAATATTCCTGCTCTTGAACAGCATCCCCCACATTTGAATCAGTCCCTTCTTCTGTCATTATCAAGGATCTTTTCTGTGATGTTGACCTGGGGTCCATAGTTCCTAACCCTATATAGCTTCACACTGATTTTCTCCTACAGATCTCTCTAAATCACAATTACTTCCAGGTTAGCATTGTCTATAAATCTGGTTTCCTGACATATTGGGTTCCTGTTCTTTTGTCTTGTTTATTGAGCCAAGGGTATCTTGTCATAGTTCCTACTCCTGGATCAGTTTCTGGTAAGATGCTCATAAAAACAGCGCTCCCTGCCTTCTCCATGCTCCTCAACAGTTCTTCTCCCCTATATAGCTTCACACTGATTTTCTCCTACAGGATCTCTTTATTGAGCCAAGGGTATCTTGTCATAGCTCCTACTCCTGGATCAGTTTCTGGTAAGATGCTCATAAAAACAGCGCTCCCTGCCTTCTCCATGCTCCTCAACAGTTCTTCTCCGATTGCCAAATTTCATCAGGACTAAGGGCCCATCTCCTGTTCTCCTTTCCACTTTAGATGAGAATCAGTTTTTATGTTTGCAATCACCTTGTTCAAGACTTAGT